ACTAACCTAAACCATTCCTCTGGTCAATGGCTAACCTAAACCATTCTCTGGTCAATGGACTAACCTAAACCATTCCTCTGGTCAATGGACTAACCTAAACCATTCCTCTGGTCAATGGACTAACCTACACATACCTGAACACCATTCCTTCCTCACCTCATTTTTCAAGTAAATATTAAAAGCTATAATGAAGGAAGACTTAGAAGGAAGGAAGGAAGGAAGGAAGGAAGGAATTATTTATTTTGAGAGCTGTGTCTGTCTGTTCGTCTGAACGTGGGAGATAATAAATATTTCTCCTGTTAAAAAATGTTAAAATCCGCTGTGGCCGTTAGTTGAGTCGACAGGAACACCACACATGGATATTTCCTTGATGTGTCGTCCAGATGTTAAGAATATTGGATAGTGGAGGAGAAACTGAGAACGTATTATACTGATAATTTGGAGTGTCTGTCTGTCTCTGTCTGTCTGTCTGTCTGTCTATCTGTCTGTCTGTCTGTGCGTTAATGTGTGTGTGTGTGTGTTTTAATGTCTGTTTGTTTGTGTGTTGTGTGTGTGTGTGTGTGTGTGTGTGTGTGTGTGTGTGTGTGTGTGTGTGTGTGTGTTTTAATGTGTGTCTGTCTGTCTCTGGTACTACAAATGCCCTCAGTCACGGTCACTACACACACGTATAATGATCATCTCTGTTACCTGTTGTTACCTGTGCCTCTAACATCTAAACAATCGATCATAGAGCAACAAGTTGTTAATAATGTGTTCATCCCCTGTGTTCCATAACCCCGTGAGATGTTGTTTTGTTGGTCTTATTGTTGTTGTTATTTGTTTGTTTTTGTTGGTCTGGTTATGTTGTTGTTGTTGGTCTGGTTATTGTTATTGTTTTTGTTGTTGTTGTTGGTCTGGTTATTGTTGTTGTTGTTGTTGTTGTTGTTAGTCTGGTTATTGCTGTCGTGTTCCTTTTCTTGTTGTTGTTTTTTGTTCTTGTTGGTCTTGTTCTTGTTATTGTTGTTGTATTGTTCCTTTTGTTGTTGTTGTTTGTTTGTTTGTTGTTCTTCTTGTAAATAATCAAGTGTCCGTAAGTCTGTAAATCGTCACAAAAACCAAACTATCGAAGGAAAGAACCACGATTACTGACCGAGGGATCGTTAACCTCAGCGGTGTTGAGAGACGCCCATCAGGAAATTGTCTCCTGTGTGAAGCTGTGAACTGGTCTCCTGTGTGAAGCTGTGAACTGGTCTCCTGTGTGAAGCTGTGAACTGGTCCCTGTGTGAAGCTGTGAACTGGTCTCCTGTGTGAAGCTGTGAACTGGTCTCCTGTGTGAAGCTGTGAACTGGTCTCCCTCCCTCACACCATAACTCTTTCACACGGTACCGAGTCAGCTGTACATGGCCCCTCAGCTGGTCCTTAGGTGTACGTGGGCCCCAGGCACCATCACCCCACCTCCCATAACAACACAACCCAACCTAACCACCAACACACCTCACCTCACCCCTCACCTCACCACCTCACCTCACCTCACCACCTCACCTCACCACCTCACCTCACCTCACCTCCCGACGTAATATATTTATCTGTATATTTAAGTGACAATCTGTCTTATTTTACAACGATGACGTCACTTAGATATCTACTGTATATAATGAATTTGAGAGAGAGAGAGAGAGAGAGAGAGAGAGAGAGAGAGCTTACTCCTCTTAGCCATGGGTAGTGTAGGTTAGGGTGTATCAGTTTCATAAACTTGATATAGATATCTCTGCATGATTCAACTTCCTTCACTCCACCTCACTAACACTATATTCCCGTCCTCCACCCGCTAATTTACAGTCACTCACCTCAACGATCAATTCTCAATCATTCACCTCAACCTCCAGCCTCCACCTCCACCACAAGCTTCCACCTCCACCACAAGCTTCCACCTCCAACCATAACTAACCACTATACCAACCACCAACCACTACTACCACCACCAACCACTACCATCACCAACCATAACTACCACCACCACCAACCACAACCACCAACCACTACTACCACCACCAACCACTACTACCACCACCAACCACTACTACCACCACCAACCACTACCACCACCACCACCAACCACTACTACCACCACCACCAACCACTACTACCACCACCAACCACTACTACCACCACCAACCACTACTACCACCACCAACCATTACCACCACCCACCACCACCACCAACCACTGCTACCACCACCAACCACTACTACCACCACCAACCACTACTACCACCACCACTACCACCACCCACCAACCACTACTACCACCACCACCAACCACCACCACCAACTACCACCACCACCACCAACCACAACCACCAACCACCATCAACCCACACTTCAATATAACCTGGAACTTGCAACACACACAGTTTTAACCACATCCTCTGCTTTATGGGAATTCCACGTTCAATAAGGAACTTGTGAGTGCAGTACCTTGAGGAGGATCTGTGGCCAGCTCTACGTCACCACCACAACACAATCTTCGGCTGATACCTTTTGGAGAAGAAGATTGTTTTTATCATTTGTTGGAATTGTGCGACTGTGTGTGTGTGTGTGTGTGTGTGTGTGTGTGTGTTATTTTTCTTCTTTCAAATTATTATATTAAGTTTCTCTGTTAGTATCCTATAAGAATGTGGCTTGCTATACTGTACATGCTCCATAAATCGTGTGTGTGTGTGTGTGTGTGTGTGTGTGTGTATGACAATGTTGCACACACACAGACACACACACGCACACCGTTATTACCACAGCCAATGACACGCCCGCCACGGTTCACGGTTCTACATAGGCAATGAACCTCGTTAAAGTGAACATACACACACTTATACGCCCTCACCCTCACCCCCACCCCCCACCCCACCCTCACCCCCCACCCTCACCCCCACCTCACCCCACCCCCACCCCCCACCCCACCCCACCTCACCCCACCCCCACCCCCACCTCACCCCACCCCACTCACCCACCCCCACCCTCACCCCCCACCCCTCCACCCACCACCCACACAGTTTGCAGACAGTGACGAACGCAGTCTTAACAGTCAGCCGTGCTCGTTAATGTTCCGGAAATTTTGTTCATCATAGTTACCCGGAAAAAAGTGGCTCGGATCATAACAGAAAACGAAGGAGAGGGTTGTAGACCGACCCTCGTGTGCTCAGAAAAGGGTCAGTTCCTTATTGCTCAAATGTATTACTCTAATTTAACTCTCGTATAGTTATACTAATTGGTAAATGTTTCTTGTATTATTAAGTTTCTAATTAAACGTATAGATAATATTATTCAAGTAGATTATACTTTAACACACACACACACACACACACACACCTACACACACACACACCTACACACACACACACACACCTACAGGACCTATATGAACAAGAAAAAACAAGATGTCGCATTATTATTCACATTAACCTAACCTAAGCCTAACCTAACGTAATATGTTCGAGTAATAAATAACAAAATGCTTAAAATATTCCCGTTGACATATTCATTCAGAGCTTCACCTCTTTGACATTGTTCAAGTAAATGTTACCCAAACTCTGATTAATCTCGTTCACCTGTTGCGATAATGAAGTGAACATCATTAACACTGTTCACGACTATCATGGTGACCCGTTTACAGCATGATATGAACCGTGATGGGAGGATCAGGGAGGCACAAAGTTCACCTGTATAACCTACCTGTGACTGTCACCGTCTGCCCGTGTTAATTATTCTGTTGTGGATATTTGTGTCACGTTCAGGTGTGTTAGGTCATGAAGTCTTGGTTATACACTGCCACACATTTAAATGCACACACACATACTGCACATACATACACCTATATGTACACATACTCACTACATTCTACACGTACACACTGCAGTTACAAAGTGAAAAGAAACATACACATCGCAAAATACTTGTAGTACTATGGACACACACACACACACACACACACACACACACACACACACACACACACACACACACACACTCTGATAACCATACATTGGAAATCAAAATTGAAAACATATCCACTCCAGTTTATACAGTATATTACAGCAGTCCAACATTCGTCACTTCTGCACACTTTAACAACAGATTCAGGTGTTTTCTGTCACCCCCAACTCAAGTAAACTTTCCGGCAGGTGATCACAACACCACAGAAAACGGAGATCCCAAAACACCAGAGAAAACGAGACCGTCATAATCAGCTCCAGGAGGGACTATTGTGGAAGGGAGACACCATCATTTTTAGAGTTTATTTGGTGAGGTAGGTCAATTGAATGACTGTTAAGTGAAGAGAGAATCTGTTATTCTCATCATAGAAACAGAGGCGAACATGACGTCACTGGGTAGAGGTGTTACTGGTTCTATGTGAACTGTTTTAGTTGATAGAAAAATATTATAATTTGTTAAAAAACTTCAATTTACACTATTTTTCTTTCTTTGTTTATTGTTTATATTATTTTACTTAGTGTATGGATACGGATAGATGGATGACTTTCTCTTCCTGGTGATTAGTCGATGGAGCTTAACTACTGTCCTTATTTAATTGTGTAAGTGTAAACGATCAATGCATTTCTTTTCTCAAATGGCTTTCTCATCTCTCTTTAATCACATCGACTGTTTCACTGTTTAAGTCTTTGATAAGTTTTAATACTTTAGTTGATATTTCTAATTATTCCTTATAACTTAGTAAAACATAACACCGTTTTAGAATATAGGTACATTACTTTGGATATACAGTTTTACACTACACACACATCACAACCAGAGACATGTATATATATTGTCTCTTTCCCACCTGAAGCAGAAGGCAGACAGGTGGTTACAGGCAGCTAGTTATTGGTGTGTGTCAGGGTGTTAGTTGCTGGCTGGTTAGTTTGTTGTGTATTGATAAAGTGACATGATAAAGTGACAACAAAATTCAGATCATTAAAAATATTATTTTAATTTATTTTCACTATTGATATACAGTAATTAATGCCATATTTTACTGAGTGATACTGTAAACTTATTCATACATAGTCATTCATACATACATATCATAAATAAATGCATAATCTTACATTCTTTCTTTCATTCAATAAGTAACAAATAAGGTTAAATGGTGTTACTTCAAGATACTTGTGGAGGTTTCTGGGAGCTACTGGACCAGCAATACACTACGTCATTATTTACAAGGATGTGACAATGAGTCTTTTTATATAAACGTTTTATTTACTTTATCTTCCTCCTCTCGTGACTATTCTGGAGCCCATAGGTGGTACTGTGAACAACGAACAAGATAAATTTCGTTCAATATATCCACAAGAATGCGTGTTTGTAGTTCATTTGTTTTCTAGGTGACATATGAACGGTTGAACATTGTGTACCACCAGCCTGTGTCGTCATCCTTGGCTTCCCTTCCTGTAGCCACTATCCCATCCTCACTTCCTACTGGGGATCCTGCAGGAGTCTGAAGATTGTAGAGGGCGTTGGTGGTGGTGGTAGTGGAAGAACGTGTACTGGTGGCTAATTTTTCTGGTATCTTGTTGGTGTTTTTTAAATTCTCGATGTTGTTCTTGGGTAGAGTGTCAGTGTTAGCGGGAATAGCCGGGCCTCCAGTGGCGTGAGGGTGGAGGTTAGTCTTTGAGGCGGCATTGGTTCCAGATTTCATCACCTTTGTGTTTATGGCGCTGCTGGTGACGAGAAGTGGTGAATCTTGCATTGTTTTATTTACATTAAATGAACTAGAGTTTTCTGTGACGTAAGACCATGTAGTGAAAGTGATGGAAGATGCTGTACTGAGTTCTGAGTCGATGTTACTTATACTGTTGCTGGAGAAGCTTCTTGGGTCGGTGGCGTTTCCTTCGGTGGTGTGAGAGCTATGGTTACCGTCGACGTGTCTGTACCTCGTCGGCGGCCGCAACGGTAAGACCTCCAGCCCTCCTGCAAAGCTCAGGTGTTGGCCAACATTAGTTTCGACACTGCCATCTGACGCCGCATGTCCAGAAACCTTGCCAACATTGTGTGTGTATCCCGCACCAAGTGATGTCGAGGGGCCCGGATTCCCAACATTGAGTGACAGCTCTGTGTATCTGCTGAGTGGGAACGAGGCTGGAGAGGTTGGCGAATCTGGAGTTGAATATTTAACAGTTTCTTTGAGTTGTGTGTTGACGGCGCTGAAATGGGGGAGGTAAGGTCCGTTCTCAGCTTTGTTTAGGGTTTGCGGAGATTTCACACTCAAGGTCAAAGGCAGGATGGAGTAGTTTGGTCTGAGTGACTCTCTGATATCCGGCGATGGAGGAGACGCAACTGATGGGAGTGTACCCAGGCTCGAGTAGCCCTGCGCGGGATAGTATAGGGGAAGTTTAGAATAGTGTCGTCGATCAGTTGGAAAGTTTGTCTGTATTTTATCACCAGGAGCTTGTACCACGTCGTAAGACATGTGAGACTGTCCCCGAATCACAGAAGGTGACGACGTCCTCACAAACTGAGGTGGTGTCGTGAGGGGCCGCTGTGATACCCCAGCCCAGGGCGGGTAATATGTGGTGGGGTACTCTCCTGGAATTTGGGCAATAGGACGCCGAGTGGTGGTCACGCCTGGCCACGCAACCTTTGACGCAGGAGGTGGTGTTTCATTCAATCCCAAGCTGCTTCCTCCGTTCTCAATATCGTTTGACACTGCCGCTGGAGTGGTTCCTCGCGAGATGTAACCACCAGCTATAAGACGTGTAGCAGCTTCTTTGTATACATTGATATTTGCGCCCAAGGTGTCTGACGGTCCAGCCTGTCTAATGGTACTGAGGACATCAGAGGAAGGTGTCCTCTGTGAGTTCTGTCTCACAACAGCAGGTTGATGTATGGCGTCAGGTCTGGTGTTCGTCCTTTCAATATTCGACCCAAACCCGCCAAGGCGATCAGTGAGTTTGTCCCTGGCGAGGAGTTTGTACTTGGCCAGGCTGTCGTGCTGCGTTAGGTCCTCCTGAGCGAGACGAGCCGAGTCATCCACACGATTCATCTTGGCCAGGAGGTCGCTGAGGGCCTGCAGGTTGTTGGAGCCAACTAGCGAGGAGGACTGGGGACGGTCGAGGTCGTCACGAGTGTTGCCTGTGACGCTGGCCCTCAGCAGCAGCTGCAGTACCTCTGGACTGAAGGTAGCCTGACCAGCATCATTCTCCTGCAGCGTCGCCCCCTGCCTGAAAAACCAGTATGATGTTACTTAGTTGCCTATAATAGCTAGATGGGCACCTGGACCCTGAGAGAGAGAGAGAGAGATGGAAGGAGAAAATAAGAAGGGGGTAGTGAGTGAGAGGGATGGACTGATGACAGGTATCACCCGCACACAGGAAGTTACTGCATTTGTTTGTTTATATCTATAATGAAAAATTTAACAATTTAATTAATTTTCACTTTTATCGGGCATTCCTTTTGCAGAGAGAGAGAGAGAGAGAGAGATCGTAAGTTTAAAATTATACATTATTTTCCGTGTATGTGTTTTAACTGGGCGTGTACAGTTGGAAGATAATAAGCATAATTATCGTCACATATCTCACGATCACTTGCAAATAAATATAGCAAAACATGGCAGTTGTATCTTCCCCTCCTCCTCCTCCTCCATAAATTAGCAACATTTAAGTGAGCAATAACTGGGAGGCTGTCTTGTGGGGGTCGAGCCATCTGGTGGTGGGTGCGGGAAGCTGGCGGGTCGGTTACACTCTGGCACAAGGCGGGACTGTTGCCCGCCAATAGTCCGTCGGCGCTTTATTTTATTAGTCAAGAGGCTATGCTTCATTCCGGCGGCTCTCGTTAGCTGGGGAAGTGATAATGTGTGGTTGAGCCAGACCTCGCTATGGTAGGATGACGTTCTCCCCCACCACAGTCAGGAGATGAGCTATTTAGATTCAACACTCGAAGAATGTTTTGGATGGAGTGGATGGCCTGATCTGCAATGGGGTTCCTGTGGGTAAGGTTACGTGCCCGGTGGGGTGTGGTTGGTGGGGCCTGGGTGTTTTACGGTGCCCGGGGTAACGAGGGAGGAGATAAGATATTGCTATTTCTGCTAAGGAGCATCAAGAGAGAGAGAGAGAGAGAGAAAAAAAAAAGAGAGTCTCGTTTTGATAGAGTAAACCATTTTTCACATTGTACGTCGCTTCTCAATCAGGAACGTTATTGCGTTTGTGTTCCTTCTCTATACTTTCCTCTCATCTCCTTCCTCGACCACATACACATAATCCCGAACTCTTACAAACTCTTCCTCTCCTCTTTCTTTCACCTCTAATTATTATCTCTCTCTTCCTTATATCCTCGTTCAGTGTGAGACAGTATATGTGGTGTCCAGCCCTTCCTGCCCCCCCCCTCCCCCCTATCATCGCTCCCGTGACTGAAGCTTGGAAGATGTTCTCGTGTTTACATCTTAAGCAAGGTGGTGGTGCTCCTGGTCTTCAACACTCGTGGAGAGACAGAGAAGAACAACAAAGAGGGAGAGAGAGAAATATTTAATGAGGACATACATGGAAATACAGATAGAAAGAAAGATAGAGAGCAACAGGGAAAAGGAAACAGAGCAATACATAAAGACTAAGAAGTAGAGAAAGATAATAGAAGGAGAGAGGATGACAGACAGACAGAGAATCTATACCAACTAGGGAAAGAGGAGGAAGGGTAGGAGGAGAAGAGTTGCTCCAGCTGACCGTGTGCATTTCTTCCCCCATCATCAGCTCCTCTCCCACATTCTCTCCCTCATTCACTATCACGTTCCCGGACACTTCAATCTAACCTTTACCTCCTCTACAAACCGAGGCTCGAGTTCTCACAGTTCTCTCCCCTACCCTGGCACTTTCCTCTTAAGTGGAGATTATAAAAACGCATCCATCCAGCTGCCTCGCTTAAAATACGGCACAAAAGACGTCTAAATTGGCGTCGGGAATCTCTTTCAGACTTTCATATGACAGGAATTATTTTTGTATGGCTTCAGCGAGTTAAAATTTATGTAAATCTTCAAGAAATGGATTACCAATTGTTTTTTAAGCGTCGTTGAACATATTGTCTACTCTGTTGTCTTGTCCTCTCTGCCTGCCGAGTGTTCAGGTCGGTTACTACGACGATACTGATCAATAGAGGTTGAAAATGGACTCGTACTGTAGGTTAGGTCAACCATGGCCGGGTGCTTGGGCCAGGTGGAAGACGTTGATTGACACGAACCGGATGGAGTTGGCCGGGTAATGAGGACCAGGGAAAAAGTTCTTTCAGCCAGTTAGTTAGTCAAACAGTCAGTCAGTCAGTCAATTAATTAGTCAGTCAGCCACCTTGTTAGTTAGTCAGTCAGTCAGTCATCCACCCAGTCAATCAGTCATCCACCCTGTCAGTCACTCAGTCAACCATTCAGCATTAGCTATCATAAAACTGAATGACTCGACTATAAGATAAACCTCTCGTAATAATGTCACCTTTTGTGGATGATAACAAATAATGTTGTCACACATCTTCTGTCACCTAACCTATCCTAACCTAACCTAACCTAACCTCCCGGAACACGCTGCTGTAGCCTCTCCTTGGTGGCTGGGTGTTCGTGATAAAAGGTTAGTACACTCGACACTCCTCTTATCACGTACACTTCCAATTCAGAGGTTTATTACAGTTAGAGATACTTTGAGAACACCGCTCTTGTTGATGATCACTTTAATGCTAACTTGTTGGTAGATAACCCCCCCCACCAGAATCCCCCCTCCAGCACCCCCACCACCAGCACCCTCCACCAACACCCCCACCAGAATCCCCTCCAGCACCCCCACCAGCACCCCCCACCAGCACCCCCCACCAGCACCCCCCCCCACCAGCACCCCCCCCCACCAGCACCCCTCCCCACCAGCACCCTCCCCCAGCACCCCTCCCCCACCAGCACCCCCCCCCCCCCCAGCACCCCCCACCAGCACCCCCCTCCCACCAGCACCCCCCACACCCGAAAGCTATTGATGTTAAAATAAATAAATAGATAAAGGAAGTTTTAATAAAATGTATGTAAATTTGTTGAGGGAAATGTTGACACGGGGATAATAACAACAATAATAATAACAACAATAACAAATTATATGAAATAAGTATCATTTTCTTCCCAAAAGTTGAAACAATATAAACATCTCATAGTTGTCGGGATCTCATTAACATTTTAACAACTAGGATATCATAAACATAAACAGCAGTAATCGTGGCAGTAAAAACAATAATTAACATAAGAGGGCGAGAGACATCGTAAAATGATTAGACTCAGATTAAACTCACAATACCCCCCGTTGTGGAACTCTGGCAGCGCTGAATCATTTTATGGCGTTTTCACGGTGAGTGACCGAGGACGTCCTCACACACACTCCCTCAAGCACCTCATTATGCTTCACCAGATTCTGTTTTAAGTTTAATGAGCGTCCTGTGTGGGGGAGGGTGGGCGGAGTGAACACATTGGCTGACCAAAGATAGATAAAAGGGGGTAACATGGTGTACTGTGGTCAGGAGGTGATGGTCATTTCAGGTGGTTACGTGTGGTAGTGTACTTGGCTGATGATAGGTGAAGGGGTAACGCTCAAAGGTGATAGGTGAAGGGGCACGTGTAGTCACCTAAGACACACTATATCGAGGACATTTTATAGATCTTTGCCTCATCTCATAAGCTGTATCAGATAAAACTAGACAACACGAGTCATATCTCCTCCTCCAACAACCTGAGGGAGAGAGAGAGAGCCAGAGAGCGAGTAACTCTCTGCTCCTCTAAATATAGTTATGAAAGGATCGCAGGAACAGAGAGCCACCAGCGAGAGAGAGATATACGCCTCTACTACATTTTTGTCGGAGATAATAACAATATTATCATCATAAGGAAACAACACTTGACATCCACTTATATTAGTTATGTTTCTCGGGGTGTTTTATCCATACCAGTGACTTAAATTAGCTGTATTACCTCGTGAAGACAGACAAGAAAAGCGCCGTGTCTCTCTTTAGTTTTGGCGGGATGACGCTTGAATCCTCACTCTACAGAAGATAAGTTACGTCTTGTATCAGTGTTCAGATCAACTCTACTCGCCGCTTGTTGTTCCTTCCACATCAAAATTCTACATCAGGAACCTCTATCTGCTGTTCCTCCTCCCTGAGACCTTCATTTAGCTCCTCAAGTCACTCGTCAACCATCTTGTTCTCCTCTGACTCTCTAAACTCTACACTTCTTTCATTACTTCTATCTTCCGCCTTCAGTGTGTGGGGTCACGGCGTGGCTAGAGGCCAGCCCTTCCCCTCCTTCACTCCTCCGTGAAAAAATAAACTTAAATGGGGTGATCAACTTGTTTTATCACAAACTGTAACACAGATAGAAGAGCCTGAGTTAGCCCCTCACTCACTCACTGGTTCATAAGATGGATGTTCTCGTGAGGGAAGACGTAGAAATACAATAAAATGTTTGACTTACAAGATTTAACACCAAAATAACATCTGAAAATAGACTGATGATGATTCAGGGACTCATCATTAACTAATATCTTTACTCATCAACCGTTAGATGGTATATGTATATTGGTAAGATAATCTTCTCAAGTGATCCTTTAACCAAACTTTATCTGGTAACAGTGGATGTACAGTTTCAGGGTAGTCTCAGCGTGATCTCTTACAAGGGGCATTCATCGAGCTAACCTTTGTAAATTAACTCCCTGATGAGAGTTACATGACAGATCAGTAAAAGTGGGTCACATAGGCATAATGTCTCACTGTATACTATGACCTCGGTAAACACTAGGCACTGTACTCGACCGCCTTCGCTTCCTCAACTGTTAAGCTGGTACCCCAACTCGGCCGCTTGCACTCCGTTTGTTCCGTAACTCCGACAAAAAGAATTAACTAAAATTAACTAAAAATACATCTTTCACAATACTGAACCAAGTGTGTATTACGCATAAGTCTTATTGACCAAGTGTGTTGTTTTATATGAACGTACAATGGCAAGAAGATTGATAAAAAAGTTAATAAGACGAAGAAGACGAGAAGAACTAACAACATAGAGATAAAAAAAAGAGAGACCAATAACACGGGGTAAGGAAGTTTAATGACAAGGATAAGGCGATAAAGGTGACCACTAACACAAGCTGAAGGAGACCGCTTATACAAACAAGACGATTAAAGTAAACTAATAAAAGTCAGCTAGGAGTGGGAGGAGGGAGATAACTTGGACAATGGGCGCACAGAAAGACAACAACAAAAATACCAAGAATAAGAAGGCAAATGAGATAAACTAAAGAGGAGGAAGAAAAGTAGTACAAGAGAAGTAGTGAAGAGAAGAAGAGAGCCAGATGAGAGGTGGTGTTGGTGGTGAGCTGTCGGGTTATCAGGGGCACTCCGGGCCAGTGGTGACGCGCCGTGTAAAAACATCCCTCGTTGAGTTATGGCCACAGTAAACATAACCTCATCATCGTTCCCACCCCCCACCACTTATTTTGCAGACTTTCCAGTATAAAAGTTGTTATTAAATAAACTAAGACGTATTTTAGACAGGATTTTATTTATTATTAAAGGGTGGATTATACTACACGGTTTCTGTAAGTATAGGAGAACACAGGAGAAAGATATCGGATGAAATTCCTAGCTGAAACGATTTGAAACGCTCGCCAAAACAAATAAAAGCACCATTGGAGGAATCCAGTAATATGAATGGTAACAAAAGCACATGAAGGCGTGAAGGCTGCTCTGTGCCAGCTAGGATGATAGGTGAGTGATAGAGTGATAGCCCAAGGAATGATAACACTGCCCCAGAACCCGCCAAAACAAGACACTGTCATAGATTGAGGATTATTAATGATGGTTGCGATACGGACGGCGATATTTGATAGCGGGCTAATAGTTTGTTTACCTTCTCAACAAAAGGGACTGAATGGCGTGAGGAATTATAGGTAATGAAAAGCGGACGGGGGAGGATAGTAATGACTTTGAAGTTTTATTGATGTTATACATTTGATAGTTTGCAGCTGTTGGGTATATAAAAGTTGCGTTTGTTTACAGAGTATTTTGGGGTTAAGTGGGCCATGGAAGAATGCAATTAAAGGATAATCGCACTGAGACTTGAGGCAGTGTTATAGGCGAACGCTGTTTGTGAGAGAGAGAAGAGAGGAGTTAGATTAGTGTAAATATTGAATTGGATGGAATACGTGACTTGTGAAAATGCTGACATTAAGTAGTAGTAGTAGAAGTAATAATCATAATCATAATCATAATAATAATCATAATCATAATCATAATCATAATAATCATCATCATCATAATCCCATTCATAAAAAACAACAAAAATAAATTATCATCAACAAATGCTAAGTCATCCACTCATGAATAGATAGATGAAAGGATATGACGTAATATGATGAATATGAAACATGAAATATGTATCACCTACGTCAGCTAGCTCGATGAATGCCAACCCTTACTGATTCTTAGTCTTGTAGGATATAAAGACGTAATTGATGGTCTTTCGTGTTTTTAAAATAAACAAAGAATGTAAGTAATAAAGTATAGACGCTCGTACTTCTAAGATAAACAAACTAATAAAGAAAATATCATAGAAAATCCAATAAAAACAGGTCATTTGTTGTACAACGTAGAAAACAATTATGAGGATTTTTCTTAATAATTAAAGAAAACGGGGAAGAAAAGAACGCTAATAATAACAAGCTACATGTTTATGCTGTGGATACTTTTGTCTGCTACTGAGAAATTTAGCTTTTGAGGAAATGAAGCTACTAACTTAAGAAGCACACTAGCTACATTGTTAGTTTCTGTAGTTACTGTAATTTTTAGTTATATGTGTATTTGCATATAGGTTAATTAAGGCACCACATGTGTAGTTCTGTAATACATAAGAAAGGAATTGGTGTATTTATGTTGTTCCTGAATAGATAATTTGTATTTTACGAAACATTGAGACGTTAAGGAATGATTATTAGAGAAAATTGTGCTGCTGTATGTATGTATGTATGTATGTATGTATGTATGTATGTATGTATGTATGTATGTATGTATGTAATATATAGTCTAATACATTATAAACCTCACCCCTGTATACATATAATAACACACCAATTCGTTAGAGGTGTATTAACTAAAATAAACGTAATTTTATACAAGTAAGTTTTTAAAGCTACTGTTTATGTTCAGTGATAAAACAGTCATTAAATACAACTTTCATAAAATACGTATCACTGAGGGTCATCAACACACACACACACCTGATAAATCAACCCCCTAAACCTCTTCACCTCTCAACGCCAATTCAAATATTTCTTTATAATTACGCTTGTGTGTACTCAGTATGATATAAAATTAGAGTTATTACAGCTCATGGCAACCTTGTCTAATATGTTACGTGATATGTTTGTTAGTGTGTTATCTTATTAACTCGTTTGTTTGTTTGCCATGCACTTGCACCCTCCTTCGTCTCTCTTAAAGAAGATCCAAGCTTGTTGATTCGCTGACCAATGCCACTTCCCAATACTCTCTTAGCGCGTCTATACTCGGATTTAGCATAGGATTTATTTACTGATTGCATTTGCGATATAGTAGACGGACTGTTCCTAAGAGGGGGCGTTCGTTTTTTTTCTCTTCTTGAATAAACAGATGAGAAATAAGATACAAATTTAGAGAAATACGATTAAAAATAATGATAAAATGTATAGAACCTGATAATAATATACCCAATAGATTTTTCGTATTACACAAAAAAATAACAACACTGGAATGAGTAGAAAAAACAAGGGAATAAACACGATAGAAAAAAAAATAATAATCTGACGAAATATATTATAGAAAATTATACCTATCATAGAAAATGGGTGTAATGTTTCATGACTAACTCGGGAGAAATAAAAAACAACGATAACAATAACTAACTCTGAAAACAATAATAAACACTTCCCTCAGACTAAACAAGACAGGGTGTAGGTCTTATCCTTATGATGGCAACACGTGTGGCTGCAGCTCCTCCCCTGTTATGTGGGTTGTAGTTTATTAGGCAAAAAAGTTATAGATACACAAGAGCCTCAGGACTTATATTTCAGTGATAAGTATATAATAGTTATACTGTTTACAGGTCGTCCGAAGCTTGTACGATAGGATAATTTTCTGGTAGGATTATAAGCAAGGTGTAATTAATCGTGAAGTTATTAGTTAAATGTTAATGTGTATTATATTCTATGTTCTTGAGTTATGTTACGTCAGATCTAACCTCAGTTTACGACATAAACTTCTTCTGTGGTATGAGGTTACGACACGGCAAAACTCTCCCAGTGTTGTGAACTTACCTCATTAATAGGGCCATTTCATTAAGCTAGATTATTTCTGATGCACCCCAGTTAGGAAGAAATGGTATCGTACCTATCAATGAGTTCCTTATAAAAACGAAACGGCATCAGTGTGGCGGAATCATAAACACCATCACGCAGTCTAAGGGAATTTCTCGCCTTATTTGCAAACTTGATCTTATTTTCCTTTTTTTTCCTGTTTTTGTTTTGTTTAGTTTTGTTCACTATTTGTATTTGTTTGTTTCAGACGATAACGTAACGATATCGAATCAATAATAACTTGGAGTTTGAGACTAAATTGAGCTTACCTAATCTAACCTAGACAGAATTCAATTCCTTTTTTCAGTCGCATATGAACGTTGGCCACTAAAACTCTACTGTGACTAAATACTGATGTTCACGGTAACTACAGAACATAAATATGATGATAGGTATTATTACTTTGATGTGTTGTTAATGACTTACACGGTTTAATATTGTGAGGCTATTGGATTTGAGAGAGAGAGAGAGAGAGAGAGAGAGAGAGAGAGAGAGAGAGGACGGGTCTTCCTCACCTCTTCAAGGCAGCCACCATGCTCCCCAGGCCGTCGTTCTGTCGGCTGAGGAACCCCCCGAAGAGCATGATAATGTAGACGGCGAAGGCAGCATAGGAGAGGATCCCGAGGGTGGCGTCCAACATCGGATACACAGGAGGCAGATTCAACCCTCGGAAACTGTTATAGGACCTCATCTCCATCCACCCACGCCCTTCCACCACGCCCTCATCATCCCCAGCAGGAGTGGAGACCCGGTTATCGTGAGAGGACGGACTGAAAATGGGAGTTGGTGAGGGAGAGACCTGGGTGGTAGGGGCTGTGACGGGCGTGACAGGGGCAGATACAGGCGGGGCAGGAGCAGGTACAGGCGTGGCAGGGGCAGGTACAGACGTGGCAGGGTCAGGCAGAGATGTGAGGGTCACCAGGAGGGAGACAGCGCGGGGCAGCAGCCAGGAGCACCCCATGGCATAGTGAGACCTGAAACATGACTGTGATTTAGAGGCGGAGAACTGTATGGCCCTTGTGTACCGTGTCTTAAGCCTTGTGAGGTGCGTGGATCAACCCTCCGATCCTAACATCCACATAAACACTGTAGATACCATGACGCCTCCACACACCCGCAGCAGTAATACCTAGCGGAAGATTGACGAAAGTAAAAATTAATTAACGTGACGTAATGGCCAGGTGGCGGCTGTCATGGTGAGGTGTCGACTTGTCTCCGTAACTGTTATTCACCGTTCCGTCTTGTTGACTTGGTACGATCCTTTCTTCTTTACTCCCGCCTTCCCTTCCTCCCTCTTCCCTACCTCCCTCCTACCCCCTTCATCCTACCTGGTCTCAGCAAACACAGACCCTCAAATACTTAACACGGGACTGGAAGTTCAAATACGTCTATAAAGAAATTGATAACCATTAATTATTCCAACTCAAGACCAGAAATGAGCTTTCGAACATGAAGGAATTTACGGTGTAGAAAACTCTTTCATATTGTATAACGCCTTTTGTCCGTATTATTATTATTACCTACGCTGGAACCCGTAATTAATGTAGTTTGTCTGTATATGTAGCAGACGGCTGAGGAGGAACCACAAACCGATCACTGATTAGTTGGTGGTCTCGCTTTCTGTTGACATTTACGGGATCGAGGAAGAAAACGGGAACTAAACTGTGTAAGCAAAACAAAGAAAACGTAACAATGAGTATGAGACGCAGCACAAACTTAACAAATCTAAATTAAGTGTGTGTGTGTGTGTGTGTGTGTGTGTGTGTGTGTGTGTGTGTGTCTTTGCAAAACCTTCTGTAATATAATCTAGTTTGTTCAGAAATCATCATGTTTATTTCTATTCAATTTATTATTAATTTTCTCTCCAGATCTCCCATAGCTTCTGAGGCAAAATGAAGTCATAATGTCGTTTGATGTTATGATCTTATTACTCATGGCTTCGGTAACTCCAATAAACAAAAGCTGACTACGATATAAACTTGGGAAAAAACACATCAATAATCCTGAAGACGTCGATAATAACGAGTACTTTCCTTCCTTATCTTCTTGACTAATCTATGGCCTTAGTATCTATACCCAGTTGTCTTAGGGAAGGGAAAGGATGGGTACACGTGCCTCAAGATGTGTGTGTTGGCTGTCCTTCATTACAATAGTGAATCCACCCTCTTTTTAAGCTTGGTGTATTACCGAATTCACTGCCTACTCACTGTCCATATGCTACACAACACCGCTAACAGTCTAGTACGTGTTGTTGGTCTGCCGTTATTTTCACTGTTTCCACTTGTACACACTGTTGGTACACTGTTACTAACACCGTTGATGTGCTATTCAGTATTTTGTTGGCCCTCTGCTGTTCAAGTTACGACTCACATTGCTTACGCTTCTGTATACACTGATTGATATATCCTCATAATTTACTATACGACCTACAGCCTAAAGGTACACTTGTTTCATTGGTATATGCAATGTTTAATCACTTTTGAAGCAGTGATCATATCTTTGTTCACTGCTATATGTATGTATTATTCACTTACAATTACACAGATTATTTACACAATAACACCACCATCCAGCCACCCTGTGTTGGGGCGGTTGAGGGTCTTGGATCTCTTTGGGTTGACGAATTGACTCCTACCGTATTCCTTCTGCTGTTGGCAACTCCAGAGGCTCTAACAGATGATCCTGAGGAAAGTATTGGTCCTCATCTGTTGACAATAGCCGCCAGGGAAGATTATAAACTGTAGCGGGAGCGGACGAGAGGCGTTGTGTGAGGTGGTGGTGGTAATGGTTGTAGAGTTCTCGTCCTGGGTCGGTCCGTCATGGAAGGCGGGGTGGAATGAGTGGATCACCTGAGGGCGTGTGGAAGATTGAGCTGGGAGTGGGGAGAAGCGAACGGCCCTTGGGAGGGGGAGGGAGGGAGTGGCCACTATGTAGGCCCGGGGAGAGGAAGGGGTGGAGATGGCCAGGGGGGACGATATATGGTCCAAAAGACAATAGCACCAACTGACCATGTCACCGCTGGCACACATTTCATGCAGAAGACGTAGTTCGGCCTATGTGTGTGTGTGTGTGTGTGTGTGTGTGTTACCCATAGTATCTCAAACACTGTGGATCCTATTTCCATTAATCATCGGTCACTCACTGAACACACTATAGGGAACTTGAATACACGTAGAGATAATATTCAAGAAAACAAATGAAGGTGAAGGAACGCACTGAGGCCTCCCCAGAGTGCGTGTAACTGTGTTTATGTGGTGTTTATAGTTGTTATGGGTGGTGGTCAGGTGTTGGGTGGTGTAATAGGGTGTAGTGTGTATTATGAGTAGAGGTGATGGTGGGGGGTAGCAGGACATGGTGGTGGTTGTTGTACTGTATGTGATATGATTGTAAATTGAGTTGAAATATTATTATGTTGAGTGCAGATGGTAACACACACACACACGCACACACACACACACACACACATCTCTCTTGTCAAATTGCTTCAGGTCACAGCGACAAGTAACTGATAAAATGATTATGTTTGAAGACGCTTTCTCATGAACCAACTTTACAGGTACAATGACTCACCTTAATGATCACTTACCTGCTCTTCTGTCACGCTCAGGTAAGCATAATGATCAACTTCTTCTCAGTTTAGAATCGTAATCATGAATTCTTATACTGTATATAAAATATCACCAGCAGAGGTTACAGAAGTCTAGTGTCCGCTAGAATCTCGCTGTGCATGTTAATTAAGGAAATATTCACCTGTACATTAGGTAGTTGTGTGAAAGGTAATCCTGCTTGACTCATGAACCAACCAAGAGAGCCCATTGGTCCCTAAGGTGCTGTGTGAGATGAAGTTAATGCCATAGTGAGCTTAATATTGTAGGATTCTCAGACGATTGACGATTTAACCTGACCGACGCAACCTAACCTAACCTAACCTTACCTTACCTTACCTAACCTAACCTAACCTAACCTAACCTAACCCAACCTTATACTTTCAGTTTCGGCATATCAAATACTGACGTAGTGTTTAGATTTCCTAGAGGTACTTATTTACGTGCTGATGAAGGCTCTGTGTTCATAGAGTATTTACCGTTATTTAAACAGATGTTGGACAGTCACGTATCGTTAAGGAGTGTTAGTTAGGTCCTGTTACTGTACCTCATGAGGCTTCACGTAGCCTCGTACAGCGTCACCAAGCTTCACATAGTGTCATTAAGCTTCACACAGCGTCATCAAGCTTCACACAGCGTCATTAAGCTTCACATAACGTCACCAAGCAGCATCATCGCTTCTACGCATTTTCAAAACTTTACCTGTGATATTACCTCTATGGTGACCTATATTGACCTGTCTTGTGACCTGTATTGACCTGTCTTGTGGCCTGTATTGACCTGTCTTGTGACCTGTATTGACCTGTCTTGTGACCTGTATTGACCTGTCTTGTGACCTGTATTGACCTGTCTTGTGACCTGTATTGACCTGTCTTGTGGCCTGTATTGACCTGTCTTGTGGCCTGTATTGACCTGTCTTGTGACCTGTATTGACCTGTTTTGTGACCTGTATGGGCCTGTCTTGTGACCTGTATTGACTTGTATGGACCTGTCTTGTGACCTGTTTGGACCTTGTCTTGTGACCTGTATTGACCTGTGCGGACCTGTTCGACCTGTCTTGTGACCTGTAGCTGACCTGTATGGACCTGTTCCAGGACCTGTTTGGGACCTGTCTTGTGACCTGTGGCTGACCTGTCTTGGTGACCCATCTTGTAATCTGTATTGACTCTGTATGGACCTTTTCTTGTGACCTTGCATGACCTGGGTAGTGACCTGTCTTGTGACCTGTATTGACCTGTCTTGTGACCTATCTTGTGACCTGTATGACTTATTGACCTGTCTTGTGACCTATCTTCTGACCTGTACTGACCTGTATAGACCTGTCTTGTGACCTGTATTGACCTGTAATATAACCTTTTTGATTCATAATTCAAATTTTAACATCAGTAGGAAAAAAATCATATTAAACACACATTATATCAACAACTTTATTATCAACTTACAACTCTACATCACAACCGTGGCTGAAAGAGCGGCTACAACTCTCCATACAGCTAATTAATGCCCTGCTTACGTGTACAGTAATCACAACATCCAGGCTACAACTCTCTACTGAAAGATATAAATACTCACTACTAAATTGGTACATAGTAAACATGACTAAACATTTAAATACTGCATCAGTGTTAATGTTTGTGGGTGAAGGAATTTGTGCATAAGAATGAAGGGGGATTTTGTTTGTCATTTATTGCTGTTTTGTTACGTGATGTTCTTTTGTTTTGTTTCATTTATTGACGTGATGTTCTTTTGTTTTGTTTCATTTATTGACGTGATGTTCTTTTGTTTTGTTTCATTTATTGACGTGATGTTCTTTTATTTTGTTTCGTTTATTGATATCCTGATACTGATGTTCTTATGTTTCGTTTTGTTTCATTTATTGATTTTTATTTGACATGATGCTCTTTTGTTTCGTTTCATTTATTGATTTCATGATATGTGACGTTCTTTTTTTTTTCCAGTGGCGACAGTGTGTCTTTTCTCTCCCTGTCGTTCAATATTTCACAGGTTCTTATTTCTCCCAGTAATGACTCGGTTTATTTATTTTTCGTTTACGTCTATTATAGTTCGTATAATTCCACTAACGATAAGATCTTCATTATTCTTGTTTTATTTATTTATTTTTTGTGTCCGGTGATGGATTAACCTCCTGATTCTTCTCGTCTTGTGAGAGATATGTTAATGTATATGATATAACGATTGGTGTGTGCTGTTCTGTCTCTGTGTCGTGTTCCCTGGTCAGTAGCTGTTCCCTGGTCAGTAGCTGTTCCCTGGTCAGTAGCTAGCTGTTCCCTAATCAGTAGCTAGCTGTTCCCTAGTCAGTAGCTAGCTGTTCCCTAGTCAGTAGCTAGTTGTTCCCTAATCAGTAGTTAGCTGTTCCCTAGTCAGTAACTGTTCCCTGGTCACTGGCTGTTTCCTGGTCAGTAGTTAGCTGTTCCCTGGTCAGTAACTGTTCCCTGGTCAGTAGTTAGCCGTTGCTTGGTCAGTAGCTAGCTGTTCCCTAGTTCATTGCTCAATAGCTGTTCCCTGTCAGTAGCTGTTCCCTGGTCGGTAGCTGTTCCCTGTCAGTAGCTGTTCCCTGGTCGGCAGCTGTTCCCTGTCAGTAGCTGTTCCCTGGTCGGCAGCTGTTCCCTGTCAGTAGCTGTTCCCTGGTCGGTAGCTGTTCCCTGTCAGTCGTGTTCCGTGGTCAGTATAACTATCCATTGATCACAGACGGTACAGCTAAACGCCTGACCTCCAGAGTACATTATTCAGATTTTGGAAACGGGGAAAAATTTCTCGGATTTTCCTTGACAATTAAAGCTTTGGAATTTCAATATCCATCTCGCTGTGCTGACAAATATAACATTAGCTCTATGGATTTTTCAGTGCCTGTATAGCAACATTGCAATACTTATATTATTCTCCTTGATGCATATTGAGCCATAGAGTAATGACCTAGTTGACCCCCTACCCTCCAAAAATCGACCCTCTCAACCGTTTATAAAATCACCACAATTTTCTTTCACCAACTGTAGATATTATTAATTATCTCAAGTGCTTTTGGTCCTGTGATAATACCCTGAGATCTTAATAAACCTGTAATATCGCCTCGGGTCTATCTTATCACAGAGGAATTTTATCCTCTGTTGCAGTTTAGGGATTCCAGAACACTTGAAATATCTATAGTAGTCGATGACGGTGAGACGGTGGTCGGAGGGTGAGTGAGTGTGTGGTAATGAGTGGATTTTGTGTGACTGGTGACTGTGGTGGTGGTGGTGGTGGTCAGCGGTATAAGAGGAGACAGAGCTTGGGGCAGTGTTAGATGAGGGACTCAATACCAGTAGTCTGAGAGAGAGAGACCCACCGAAGCTTCCACTATGTATACAATCTGAGGTCGACTCGAGGAAGTGCGGATATCAGGATTGTAAAAACTTCTAAGGCTGAATTATGGAAATCTGAGGTTGGGGGAAGACTCAGAAGCCGAACTGGGACAGGTTGAGTAGAGGACAGGCTGGGAACTGGTGCTCACACGATGCTGAGAACTCCATGAAATCGTCGAGCTCCGGCAGCGAGGAGTACAGCGTCTGTAACAAGAGAGATCATCAGAGTTAACGTGTGATGGCTCTTACTAGTATGGGAGTAAAGTACAGACAAGAAAACAATACTAAAGCTTCTTCTTCCCCATAAGTTACTGGTCGTTAGCATTCAGGTCATTACGGCTGTTAAATAACCATACAGAAGGCGACTACAACTATGAACCGTGAGATCCAGTTACTAATATATTAACTAATTTATGTTACAGTAATATGAAAATAAAACAATCGTCCATTCAGCTTCCTGTGCTCACTGACGATCTTGTGCAATTATTAATACAATAATGTAGTTCGTCATATCTTTCAAAGCTTATTCATTTGTGCTGTCCCTCCTTGGTAATCTTGGTGTCCTAGTAAATTTACAAAAAACAGTTACCGCTTTTTAGTGTCCTACGACCTTTTAGTAACAGTTCTTGTCTCCTTCAGGTATCCTACTAACTTGAACATACCTGGAAGAGTCCTTGGTCGGGTGCGTCCTGATCCATGGCTCTGGCCTGGGCTGACTGCTTCACGGAGCGTTGTACCCCCCACACCACAGGCGACATCTTACACACGAGGAGCTGCAGGCAGGCGGTGTCGTCACCCGTTGTCTCCACTAGCTTCTCGATGATGGTGCGGGGCAGCTCAGGGTCCTGTGCCTCACTCAGCATGGCGTCAATCTGTAGCAGTCAACACCCGCGTGAGTTATGGACGATAGTCATGAGAATAATAATGTTTTGTTGATAGATGGAATTGGCCGACATATTCACCTGTCGAAGAACATGTTAATTCAGCCTTCATTTAACATTCAGCCTAACATCTTGAGTCATCAGTCTCTCTTACCGATAGTCACATATTTTTATTTTTATCAAACAGACGCATATACTAACTCAAGTAAATGAAAAAATATGAGGCGATTTCGTTACCATTCCCTCCTCCTCCCTTGGCTGTGGTACGTAAAGGGATCAGCGCTATAAAAGGCAACTTGTCTTTATATTTTCTGTTTGTATATAATTTCTCGAATAAAATCACCACTCAGTAGATAAAACACATAAGTTAAAATATAAATAATAATTACTAACTTACTCCACACACCCCCAGAAATATCCACAACGAATAAAAACAAATTGAGTATAATATTAGTTTAAATGACGTCACGTGATAAATTTCTTTCCAACTCGTGTGATTATTGATACAGACGATGGTATTTCCTCTCTCTCTGCTCAAAACATATAAACCACTTTTTCTAATATTTACATTCATCCTCCTCGGCTAAAGTGCTGTGATTAAATATTTAGCTAAAGCATAGACAGTGTGGCTGGCCTAGGCTACTCGTAGTGGTGTGGCAGGACTCATACCTCACACCTCACCCGCTACTTGTCAGAGTATGATGACTGATGGTGATAACTGGTCCTGACTACGAACAATACTGTGCATATGGTCGACCTATATTATGTTGTTGTTGTTGCTGGTGTACATGTAGGTCTGTTTAAATCTCATTATTCACATTATTAAGTAACCATCCATATTTACTGCCCCGTTTATATATCATAAGACACAAGTTCTCTCATTTACGGTAGACAAGTAGGCCGTTCAGCCCAGCAAATATATATAATACTTAACTCGAGTGATTTACTGTGAATATATGTAAAATACGTCACTTCCGGTTCTCTCCCTGTTGGCAGCCACGAAGAGCCAGCTGTTCCCTTGTTAAATATATTCTTACTTGATGTAAATAGTCTTCGTTGTCTATTAAAGAAAAATATAACAATGTTAGATCGTCACTTGTTATGTGTTTATTATGATTAATCTCTCCGCCCCTCGTCTCCGGTGGGTCCCTGAACACGTGGCATTGTTTACACATGATCAGCTGAGAGCGACAGCTGTATGTGCTCTGGCAACACCGTAACTGTGACCTACAGCAGCTGGCGGGGCGTTAACAGGTGCGGGGCGAGGCCGTTATCTTTACCTCTGTTGGTCTGGATTCATCTTTCATCGCACTTTTTCCTTCCTTCCTTCCTTACTTCTTTCTTATCTCCCTTCCTTCCTGCCTTCCTCCCCCTTATCTCCTTACTTCCTTCTTATCCCCCTTCCTTCTTTCCTCCCCTTTATCTCCCTCCCTCTCTCCTTATCTCCCTTCCTCTTTCCCTCCTTATCTCCCTTCCTTTCTCCCTCGTTATTTCCCTTCCTTCCTTCCACCTCAGTTCCATTTCCGCTACACCTCCCTCACTACTTAACCCCTTCACCACTACACTATACCACTACTTCACCATTACCACAAAGCACACCATTACTATCACCACCACACTATAGCATCACACCATACACAGTACCTTGAAGGGGTTGCGGCGTAGTATCCAAGACAACATAGACGACTCTCCAGCTCTCGTCTCTGCGATATCATCATTGTTGTCACCGACGAGCGAGGAGGTGATCTGAAACACGTCCAGGTGAGAGTAAGTGATGCTGAGAGAGAGAACACACACACACACACACACACACACACACACACGTCCATGTTATGTTATATTCGGTGAGGTCATTAAAAGTGACACTTAAAAAATAAACGGAGAACCGCAAGAGGAAGTGTAGTATAGTGGTACCGTAGCCATCTGGTGGTGAGAATTCTCAGTTATGGCGATTATGTACAGATTTTTGTGTTATTATTGTCATTAATACAGTTGTTTTGCGAGCGGGAGGGGAGGGGAGGGCTAGGGGAACTGGGAGGGGGGGAGAGGGACGGTAAGGGGAGGGAGTTAGGGGAGAGAGAGGGACGGAAGGGGAAGGAACTGGAAACGGAAGGAGGAAACAGTTGGTGGGATCGGTTATTACCCAAGATCCAAGACTCCACAACATCTGTATGAGAGAACAGTAATATTGTCTCGCAGGGTTCGTGTCATAATTGTCGCCGGGTTCAGTCATCGCTCTGGAGGGTTTAAGTTATCCTGATCAAAAGGATTAATTCATCATAGTCCAGGACGTGTTATATACTGCTGTGGGGGGGTGTTCAGGTCACTGTGGTACTCAGTCGTCCTACTCAAGGTTTAAGTCGTTTTACTCAAGATCTATTTCATCGTTCTTCAGGCTGGAGTCACAGAGCCACAGGAACTATCTCTAGACGGACCATAACAAGAGCCATGGGACCTAACACGAGGACCCTACGGCAGGACCATAACAAGAGCCATGGGACCTAACACGAGGACCCTGCAGCAGGACTCACCATCTCGGCCAGGAAGATGAGAACATTCAGGACCATGAGTCCCATTTGGGAGGGGTCGATGCCCACCATCCTGAGGAAGCCGTCCACCATGCCTTCCCTCCTCATCATCTGGTCCTCGGTGGGGCCCTGCAGGTGGTTGGAGACCAGAGAGGAAACCGAGTCCACAAGGTCCTCACTCACGATGGTCGCCACCTTCCCCGCCTCCTCTAGACCTGCATGTACCTGTGGGGGTCAGAGGTGTGGTCAAGGGGTGTACTGAAGCAGCTCTGAGGAATACTAAGAGAATAGACAAGACGAAATACTTTGGTTAAACAGGTTCATAAGAGGTTCCATTGAAGTTTAAAATAAAAAAAAAGAAAGATAGATTTGCTTAGGAGTCGTAAGTTAAGTAATTGTTCACGCTGCCCCCTTAAATGTGTTCTTTGAATATTAGTTAAGTCAATTCACTAATCACCTGTCCCAATTGTTCATGAAGGCAACAACAAACCATTAACAATTATCTTTCTCATTAAGTGAAGCTCTTAAATACAACAATAACTCTCCATTTACAACCTATTTGAGTCAGGTCGTCAATAATTACCTGTCCCATGCGATTTTGGAAGACAGAGTCGAAGGAACTAGCTCCGTCCTCGAACATCTTGCTCACGTGTTGGGCGCCTTGGTCTAGCGTCTTGCCCAGACCCTCGACGGCTCCCTGCACACCTTGTACCGCCCCGTTCACCGCCTCCCCGGCCTTTCCCAAGAGACCTATACGGAGGGAGGAGAGTGTCGAGGTGAGGTGACGGATGCAAACAGTCATAGCGAAATATATCGTGTAGGATAGAAACGATTGAGAGGACGGTAGATAAACAGATGTCACAGGACGGTAGATAAACAGATGTCACAGGGCGGTAGATAAACAGATGTCACAGGACGGTAGATAAACAGATGTCACAGGACGGTAGATAAACAGATGTCACAGGACGGTAGATAAACAGATGCCACAGGACGGTAGATAAACAGATGTCACAGGACGGTAGATAAACAGATGCCACAGGACGGTAGATAAACAGATGCCACAGGACGGTAGATAAACAGATGTCACAGGACGGTAGATAAACAAAGCAGATGTCGAATACCCCCTTGTAAGAAGTCCTCTGAGAACTCATACACAGGTCCAAGCAGCCGACTGAGTAGCCAATCAGAAACTACATCCTAACATCATCTTACATTTCATTGGTTCAGCTGAATGTATTTAATAAAACTTTCCTCGGGGGATTTAAGTCATCACTCCCGAGGTCATCACACCACTAGGTCATCACACCACTCGGTCATCACTCCACTAGGTCATCACTCCCGAAGTTATCGCACCACAAGGTCATCACTCTCGAGGTCATCACACTACTGAGGTCATCACTCCCAAGGTCATCACTTCCAAGATCATCACTCCCAAGGTCATCACTCTCGTGGTCATCACTACTGAGGTCATCACTCCCAAGGTCATCACTCTCGAGGTCATCACTCCCAAGGTCATCACTCTCGAGGTCATCACTCTCGAGGTCATCACTACTGAGGTCATCACCCCGATTTTATCACTCCACGAAGTCATCACTCCACGAAGTAATCACTCCCAAGGTCATCACTCCACTAAGTCATCACTCCACTAAGACATCACTCCACGAAGTCATCACTCCCAAGGTCATCACTCCACTAAGTCGTCACTCTCGAGGTCATCACTCCACTAAGACATCACTCCACGAAGTCGTCACTCCCAAGATCATCACTCCACTAAGTCATCACTCCACGAAGTCATCACTCCCAAGGTCATCACTCCACTAAGTCATCACTCCACTAAGACATCACTCCACGAAGTCATCACTCCCAAGGTCATCACTCCACTAAGTCGTCACTCTCGAGGTCATCACTCCACTACAAGTCATAAAACAATTCTCAGAAGGCATGTACTCACCGAAGGGGTCGAGTAGACGGTGGAGCTGGCGTGTATGACGGGCGTGGTGAGGAAGTGGATCAGCGGGCGTGGGCGGGAGGCCGGAGAGTGCCAGTGACGCCCGCACGCCCACCAGAACCACCAGACTCAACAGGTACCTGAAACACACATACACACATAATGTACACTATTACCAAGTTCACACACACACACACACACACACACACACACACACCTGTACGTCACCTGTTCATCACGATACTAATAAAAGATATCACAGCCGTCACACAACAGCGGTCCAGCTAACGGTTGTTCACGTTGGTAGCGATCAACATCACCTTCCAGTGCGCTGTGGTGGTGGTGGGAAGGGAATATTTCTAGGGAAGAATATTATAATATACTTGTAAATTATTAAATAGTTACTTAGTGCATGTCACTCTACCGTGGTTGTCTTTCTACTCGTTTTTTCTTTCGTTTTATCATATTTTCATAAAGATGGGAGTCTGGGAAGAGTAAAATTTTGCATTTCCTTTATAGTTTCGTCTTAGGGAAATTTTATGCCAACGGGAAATATAGGTCTAGGGAAAATGATTTAGGGGCGATTCATACCATGGAAATTTATATTAGGGGAAAACTTGATAAGAATTTTTTGTCATCGAGGGAAATTTATGTAAAGGAAAGTTAATATGGTGGAAACTCTCGCTTCGGGAGAGTGTTAGAGAGGGGAAATTTCTTGCAGGGATAATTATTACACCAAAAATTAGAGAGTAGAAAATTATTGGAGAATTCTTCGGTAATTATTGAGGGAAATTTCATTCAAGAAAATATTTCTTTGGGGGGAAATACCAGATCTTTTTGCTTTTCGTTTTTTTGTTGGATTTTGTTAGACAGATAAAAGAAATTATGTTAACATAAGAATGGAGGAAACTGCACCGGGCCCATTGGCCCATACTGGGTAGTCCCATTTACACCCAATCCCTATTGCTCATATATTCATCCATATATCCAGCAACGTTCTGTTGCTGAAGTATAATCATCCCGTTATGGCGGTGTTCTGAGAGCTACACACCAAACATTGTCACGAACTTAACGTGACTAGAGGCTGGTGGCGGAGTGGCTCGGGTTAAGAAGCTTTTGAGTGACGTTCAATGCACTGGTTCGACTCCCACCACACAGTTATGTTATCAATCGGGTTTTATATATATATTACGAGAATATTTTAGGCACCAATACTTCACCAAAAGAATGACGGACATACATCGACACACTGAAAGAATTTACTATATTATACAATGTTTTGGTCAGCCATACTGACTCATACTATTCCCATTATATGTTAAAACGATAATTGATGTCTATTAACGCTGTCTATATCTTGTCGTTGGTACAAACTAACCGAGGAAGTGTCGTTTAATCTCACGGCCAAACAAAACAAGTGAGCGTCTGTTTGTATGTCTGCTCTGTTAGGTTACGTCGTGTTCCTCCTCGTCACCACATAGTTTATCATACTCGAGGACAAATATTAAACTCGGTACTCACCCTGTAGTGTATCTGGCCATCCTGTCACTGAGGTTCGCTGTGCTTGACCCAACTTTTCCCCTCACTTCAAAGACACTTCAACTTGACGTCAGTGCCTCAGGTGGAAGGTAAACTGTAGAATATAGCTCGACAGGTGTAGTTGACGTAGTTGACTCGTAGATATAGTAGTAGTAGTAGTAGTAGATTTCTTGGGAGGTAGATTCGTTGGTGGTTCCGGATTCAAGATGGTGGTGGTAGTGGTGGTAGTATCAGTGATCCCAGTTCGCGCCTCTTCAGCTTGCCAAACAATTTGATGAGACTGAGCTTAGAAACTCGGTCGGAAGCAGCCCCCAACTTCTCTCCCCATCCTTGCAACCCTGATGCACCACCACTCTTCTTCCCTTTACCACCATCCCCCCCTTTACCACCATCCCCCCTTCTCCCATAACACGTCATACCAGAACCTTTAGCCATCATAAGCGCCGCTCTCTGTGTTTACCTGTGCCTGATGGGCGTTCACCTGTGTTTTAGCGAGCTCTGATTGCAGCTTCTACCTCTACATTGAGCGTCACAAATCACTGCACTATGTTCGTCCTCTCAACAGCTTAAATGACACACGGTTAAATAATCGTGTAAACAGATAAATACTCCATTAGTATATATTTCGTGAAACAAATATAACCAACAAAATGTCAATAATAATAATAATAATAATAATAATAATAATAATAATAATAAGTCAAAAATATTAGTTACGAATCATCATTATAGTCTTTAAAATATATTCTTAGTGTTTGGCTACGGCTCGCTCCCTGCTAACGGTGGCTGCTGTAAGTGACGATGAGTTAGCTAGTGAGGCGGGCGACGACATCTGGTGGTGGTTCCCTGCAGCTTCTGTCTATCTTATGACTGCAGGTGTTTTATCTGTCTGTCTTCCTGTCTGTTTTCTACCTTACCGTCTACCTGTGTTTAGTGTAAGTTGTTATACAAGGGAGTGATGTAAACAGCAAAGAGAAAGAAATGAGGAAAATTATTATAAAGTAAGATAAAAAAGAACTACAGGTTAGAATACTGGTGGATCATGATTATCAGTTCCATTATAATAACTCTTGTGTAGTTTATGATTAAAAGTGGCAGATGTTCTCAGCGCCGCCACCATCACCTACCATGTATAATGACCTCTAAACCTCTCGCTGCAGACGAACCCCTCCTCTGTACATCACCGCTGACGAACCATGAATTGTAGGTCTTGTTACCTCTACGGCAGCTATTAAACTCCAGAAGTCAAATTAAAAAAATATGTCTTTTTTTACGGTCTTGGATTGTGTAGATTGTGATTAATAATTATAGGGGAAATAAGACAAACTATGTGAGCGTACGAACGTGTTGAACAATCTTAATTTAGTCGCAGTTGGCTACAGTGTGCGTCTGTTGTGATGTAGTTTTAAGAATTATCTGAATGTTGAGGCATAAGATTTGGCGTTAATTATACGTAAAGGAAGTGGTGAATGGCTATGAGGGGTGTGAAGGCCCCTGGTGCTCCCCTGCTTGACCACACGCAGGGCTCAGCTGCCTGGAGTAACAGCACACATTACTGGACTCGCGTAACGGAGCTCTCGCCGCCGCCTGCTGAAGTTACGGTTAGCTTTACACACACACACACACACACATATTGCCGCGCGCTGTGTAAGTAACCAGCAGCGCTAACTTATATCACGAGCGGTTTGTCACCACCAACACCAGCAACAACAGTAAGACATCAGGGAAAAGTGTAGCGGGACAGTAAGTTGAGCGATGGAGGGGGAGCAGTTCTAGTCAGTGATGGAGCAGCTCTAGTCAGTGATGGGGAGCAGCTCTAGTCAGTGATGGTGGGGAGGGAGCAGCTCTAGTCAGTGATGGTGGGAAGTGAGGAGCAGCTCTAGTCAGTGATGGTGGGGGAGGGGGAGCAGCTCTAGTCAGTGATGGTGGGGAAGTGGGGAGCAGCTCTAGTCAGTGATGGTGGGGAGGTGTTAGTTTGTTGGACATGGTATTAACCCAACCCGTGTATATGTTATCGTTCCTCAAGTATAAAAGTAAGTTACCAGCGTCCCTCCTTCACCACCCCTCCCCGCCCTCCTTGCCCCTGATACTCCACCATGGTCGCTATGCTTCACAACATACACACACCCATGTTAACACCATCATCATTCCCACCATTGTCACACTATTACCGACAACGCAGATACATCACTCACGTCTCATCTAATGCCGTCACATCACCATCACTATCACCACCCTCAACCCTACTCTCCCTAACCTAATGATTTAACACACTAGAAAAGGAATCAGAGTCATTAATTGTTCTTCTCACCTAAACAAACAGACTAATGTACTCCCGAACGTTTAATTAAATCATCTCTACAGCGAACAATCTCACCACCACTGTGTCTTCAATACTTGTTCTTCACACTCACATCTGGCCTTGTTGAGGGTGTGGTTGAGATCATGTTATTGTGGTTTACTTCTCACGTGGACCCCAGAGAACGTGACAAAACTGACGCCTTAACTAAACGTATGGAGATTGCTGCTGAACGTGATCTAGGACTGTCAAGTAAGACTCTTAAACGATGTAAATTAAATAAAAACAATCGGGTGAATGAAGTCATAGTAAGTAAACAAGTGAAAACAAATACTAGTCGATTAATTGCCCAGCCACCAATGAGGAGGTGTTATGGGAAGTATAGATCAGTACAACCCGAGCTGTTATCACTGCCAGACACTGGTTGGGTGGATTATACTCTAAGTACCTCTAGTTTATGCCTTTAACACCTCCAGTATCTATACACCCTGCCCTACACCCCACACCCTGCCCTACACATTACACCCCTGCCCTACACACTACACCCTGCCCTACACACTACACCCTGCTCCACACTACACCCTGCTCCACACACTACACCCTGCTCCCACACACACACCCTGCTCCCACCACCCCTGCTCCACACACTACACCCACCACACCACACCCTGCTCCACACTACCCTGCTCTACACACCCCTGCCCTACACACTACACCCTGCCCTACACACCCTGCTCACACACTACACCCTGCCCTACACACTACACCTGCCCTACACACTACACCCTGCCCTACACACACACCCTGCCCTACACACTACACCTGCCCTACACACACCTGCCCTACACCACCTGCCCCACACCTGCCTACACCTGCCCCTACACCCCTACACACCACACCCTGCTCCACACTACACCCTGCTCTACAC